AGTACGGCGGGTCCCGGCAGCAGGAACGTGGCGTCCAGGCCACTCTTCTGCTGCCCCCGGGACTGCGACTACAGACAGACTCCACCGGGAAGGCACCCCAAAGCCATCGAGGACTAAAGGTTGGAGAGCGGGCTGTGGGGCCCTGATGACCCACTAGTGACGGTGCGCGGGAGGTGGGACCCACGCGCCGAGAGCTCTAGCTGACAGCCGGGAGAAGACATGTCGGGCAAGGAACTGCCTCTGGGGGGACTCCTGAGGGAAGCCGGAGCTCTGGTGGGTCCCACCAGCGCGCTGGGAACCGACGCACTCCGCGCTCGGAGGCAGCGGGATGTGTGTGGCTCGCCTGGCCTCGCCTCGCTGCTTTTCCAGGGAGGACCGGGGAGGTAGAGGGAGACCCCGGAGTCAGGCCCAGATTTCCTCCCCTGAACCATTCTAGGGTGCTTCCAGGTTCCACCTGAATCCCGCGCTCTCCCGAAGATGCCTCCCCCTCTGGCCCGCCCCGGCCTGGGGAGGGAGACGCCGAGCGCGCGCTCGGCTCCCGACCCCAGACTCCCAGTCTGGAGGCGGGGCGCGGAGCGGCTGGGGCTGAGCGGGGGGCCTCAGGCGCGCACGCTCCGACTTTAGCGCGGGTCCTTGCGAAGGACCCAAGTCCCACAGTCCGGACTCAGGCAACCACGCCAGGGAACCAAACCGCGGTTTGGAGGCCAGCGAGGTGGAGGCGCCGAGGCTGGCGCTAGGAGACAGAGGGTCCACTTCACGCGCACGATTACTGTCTGGGCGACTCTGCGCGAGTTACGGCCGAGTCCCATCTCTTCTGTACATCGGCACAGTAATTCCTCCCATCCCAGCGTCACCGGAGCATTAAGCTCTAGCGAAATGGACACGCGAAAGCGCTTTGTGCCAGGCCACGCAGCGCACGGTCAGGCGCGGACGGCGCTGGAGAGCCACATTCTCCAGGCCGCGAGGCCCCGAGGACGCACCTGACCGAGGGGCACCACAGACCCTCGTTCTCACCTCTGTGGCTCCTTCCTTCCCTCCCTCCCTCCGGTTCCTCCGCCGTCTCGGTGTGCCCTCCCACCCTCCGCGCGCCCCTCCTCGGTCGCCGGCTCCCGCCTCCGTCGCTGGCCCTCGCCCGGGCGCTCGCTCACCTGTCCAGGGAGACGGCCGCCAGCGTGAAGCTGCTGGCGTGCATGGTGAGGAAGATGAGGAAGTGCACGGCCTTGCAGAGCAGCGAGCCGAACACCCAGCCG